TTCTAATAAAATGTATTGAAAAATATCATATTTAAAACTAAAGATATTAATAAATGTATGTGATATTTTTCATATGAATATAATAATAATTTGATTTTTGGTGAATTTTTAAAATACAGTAGAGCGTTGTATGTCTGAATCAATTGGGGACTGGGGTTGTTTGGATAACTTATTTTTCAGATAACCAATTATGTACAAAAAAATATATTAATCTATCCCATGTTGAAATTTTTCTCTGTTGCGTGTCGTTTCACGTTGAATTTTTGTCGATGTTAAGCCTAACGAAAATTCTTATAATAATAATCGTAGCTATTGTATCGTTAACAATTATTTTTTTTGTTTTGTACAAACAAAATAAATATATTGTAAAATATAAAAACAAAACAAAAATACTTTAGAAGTTAATCTAGAATCAAAAATGTTCGATTCAGCACAACACACAGTCCTCAGAAAAACACTACACAAAAGTGCCAGTGCTGCCAGTTAAAACACACACACCAACAAAAAACATATTGGAATAGCCCAAGACATAGCCAAAGGTTGTAGTGCCACAGCACTAGCAGAAATTTAAATTTGCCAACTGGAACGCTTTCGGTTAACCAACATTTCAGTTGACCGGCTTTCAGATAAAAGATGCTCTACTGTAATATCACCTGACTGACCTATAGTGCCTTAGAACAGATTACAAGATAAACGTAAACAAGATGGTGGTGGTAAAGGGTTAACATCCCCAACATCTGATCTATTTCTCCATATAATCAAAATGTCATAATGTATCAGGTATATGTGAGGATATTATGTTTGAAGTTTACTAAGGACCGTTCCTCCAATTGTTGTACAACCAATTCACAAAGATCACCAAAGTGGGGCTACCCATAGGTACCCTCTTTTTTGTATGTAGGTGCACTCATCAAAGTAAAAACACGAGGAATAGCACAAAATGTGTGCTAGGTCTAATATCTGAGAGTGGAAAGACTGAGCATCAGAGTTAGCGCTTAGAAAGAAATCTCTTAAAATGCAAAAACATGGTTCTAAACAAATAGATGGAAACATGGATATAAAATTGAACACAGTAAGATATTCATTTCCACTTAAATTAATAGCAGCAAGTTTGGATAGAAGTGCACCTGAATCGGAGATTGTATACATATATGATTGAAGGTGGCACTTTAACAGATGATGGATCCGATCTTCTAGCAAAAACGTTGGGGATCTGGCTTTATCAATCACAGGGGACAAGTGTTGATCTGCTTTGTGCATTTTTGCAAAGGAAAACAGGGGGTGTGTCAGGAGAGCTGACTATTGTGTGCTGTAGGCCTAGTGCTGTCACTAGGCTAGTGCATGTGAACCTACCGACACAACTTTATAATTTCTTTATATATGAGGCCTCAGCAAGTTGACATTGTGTATCTACTATGTACTGCTGTAATAGATGGATGTAGGTGGTCCTTTTCATGATCACAACTGCCTTGCTTTTATCTGCCTTGACCAATGTGATTTCCCAGGATCTAAGTCAATTTTTACTTTGTTTGATGTCTTCCCATAATTTATTAACTTTTGGCTCTTGTTAGTATTCTTCAATAGAGAATAGTAACTTCCATGACTTTTCCTGATGAAGGCTGATTAAGGAGTGGCCAAAAATGATCAAATGTTGAATTAGGATGTTTTGCTGGAAATTTGACATTTAGCTGAGAGTGTATGTAAATGTAAAAAAATAAGAGTCCATGATTTCATTTTCAATATAAAGTAGGCTCAAAGTGACAATGTTCATGCTCCTTGAGCATGCCTAACAGAATTTAGGGGTTAAAAAAAGCAAACAGCATTGCATGCACCAAACAGAAAAAAGAAGCAAAACATAAACAGAACACAAGAACAAAGTAATTGGCGTTAATTGCCTTTCCTTTGGTTTTATTTGTATATGGCAACATAACACATAGACAATCTGCTGAGGGGAATGCATCTCAGAAAATCTTTTATGCAAAACTGACCCCTATTTAGGTGTTAATAATGTGAAAAAAATGCAAAAAACTCCATATTGTTAGGCATGAACTCACAACCAACTGCTAGTGTTCAGTGGTTTTATCCACTTAACCACTGGTGAGCAGTGGCATCAATTGCGTTGTTCTTGTATTCCCTCTCCATGTCGGAAAGTACAAGGATCGTCTCTGTGTGTGAGACTAGTGAAAGAATTGCCTCTCCCGTGACTAGCAGATTCAAAGATAACCTTTTTCATGCTGAAAAGTGCAAAATTTGCCTATCCGCGACTGTCAGGTACAAGGATATACTTTTCTGTGTCTAACAAGTGCAAGGATTGCTTCTTTCTTTTCAGTTCCACCTCATTTCTATTGCAATATGACAAAGTCACATGATGCTCTAGTTTTTTAAGATACAGAACATCCTACTTTTCTCATGTGTTTAATTAAAAACATGTAAATCATTATAAAACAAATAAGGATACATATTTCTACATGTTGTGGTTGACTTACCTATCTTGAGATGAAATATTCTTATGTCAATTATCATAAAAAGATTGCCATGCAGTAGATAGAGATTTGTAGTCATTATAATTTATGCATTCCCTTTTAATATGACCTTAAATGTTTCTAATGTTTATGCTGTTTTCTTTATCTTTGCTATTCCAGTGGCAAAAATAAAGAAAACAGCAAAAGAGCATCCAGAGTTATTCACGAATCTTACCATAACAAGGCCAAATTATCATGGCACAAACCATGAATGTTAGAAACATTAGAAATATTTCAGGCCACATTAAAAGAGGATGCATAAATTATAAAGGCTATGAATCTCTTTCTGCTGCATGGAAATCTTGAAATGGGTTTAATATTTTGTATCCCTCTTTATAACAATGATGTCATGCACCAAATTGAACCTAGGGATGCATTCAATTAACAGAACATTTTTAAAATGCAATGTTTATGTTCAACCTGAAGAAGATCCAGCTGAAGAATTGAAAATGTTAGTCATTATCAAAATAATAACCTACTGAGAATTGTTTAGAAGGTACTACAAAGGTTAGGTACTATATTTCCACTCCAGTATTAATTAATGGGAGTGAGTAGAACATTTTATGTTAATTTAAGTGTTTAAAAATGCATAATCAAAAGGAATGTATGGAAACATTCCTTTTAAATTAAGTCATGTCACCAATGGAATGTTCCTGTAGAATACTTTAAGGACTTTTTTATATTTATGAATTTGTTGAGTTTTTTATAATGGCTATCCTATCTGATGAAGGCCCTAAATTGGGCCGAAACAATTTAATGTGTTTATTAAATCAAGTGCAATTTAATGTGTTTATTAAATCAAATTATATGTAAGCAAATAATGACTGTTGTTCCAGCTTTAAAAGTTTATATACAGTAGAGCAGGGGGGGCCAACAAGTCGATCTCGATCGTCCGATCAATCGCTCGCGATGTCTTGACTTAATGTGTTACACTTGTAAGTTGTAACCAAACGCGACACGTGAACGTAACGTGCAAACGCAACTGTAGTGATATCGAACCGCCTCGTTCTCCCTCGGATGCAGTTTTGTTGGTCCAGGCGCAATCCATTTGCGTACAGTCATAAAAGGGGAATAAGAAATGTAGACAATGGGTCATAAAACCGAAAAAAAGAAGAGACGGAGAGAGTAGGTCGGGACATGGTAGAGAGAAGAAGGGTGAAGTGGTGGTCCCCGAAAGTGACAACGTTGAGTTTCAATTTTTCTTCTGTTTAAAATGTACCTTTTCTTCGTGTTTTAAATTAAATTGTGGCTTTTCTTTTCTATCTAAACTTACTTGTTAGTACATATTTCACATCTCCCTCCCCCTCGCCACTTAGACCAGGGACGGGCAACCTTTTACGGTGTAAGGGCCACATTTCAAAACTTTTGAACTAACGCCGGCCACATACAAGATAAAAGAGGGGGGAAAATGCCGGTAAATCACAATTATTTTTTCATAAATAATTATAAAATAGAATAGGTATACTTAATTTAGCTTCTAGAACTGATGTAAACGTAATGTATCAAAAATATTTGATTAAATATCAGTCACTGCTAGTTTTAAATTAGTTTCGAGGTAAGTCTGTTAGCCGGTTTCTCATTTTAATTTTTACTAAATTCATTGCAGGAAAAACTATTCACACACATAAATTGTAGAAAATAACGTTTGAATTTTTGCTGCATACTTCTTAAGCTAGGAAATTAATATATTTATACACATTTTATGCGACTTGGGCCACGGAATGCCCATCCCTGACTTAGACCATGCCTATGACAACGAGTCGATCGCGACACATTTTTAAGATAAAAAGTAGATCTTATGTACACAAAAGTTGGCCATCCCTGCAGTAGAGCATCGATTATCCGAGCCCCGATTAACTGTCACATCGGTTAACCGACCATTCTAGTCGGCAAATTTCAAATGTCCGCTAGTGATGTGGTGCTACAATATTTGGCTGTGTCTTGGCTACTTTAATATTATTTTTGTTAAATTTTTGCGTGTTTTAGCTGGCAACACCAGCTTGACCATTGAAGGGAGGCCAGTATTTAAACAAGACTTAATTTTCTAATTATGAGTGGTTGTTTGTTTTGTGAGCAATAAAATAATTTTTTACGATACAATAGCCACGATTATTATTTNCAGTATTTAAACAAGACTTAATTTTCTAATTATGAGTGGTTGTTTGTTTTGTGAGTAATAAAATAATTTAAAAATAATTTTTAACGATACAATAGCAACGATTATTATTTTTAAAAAAATTTGTTAGGCTTAACATAGATGAAAATTCAATGCAAAGTTGGTTAATAGTGTTATACTAATGTACTAATTACATACTACTAATATACTATACTAATAATGTATTTTTTTAATTCTTTTCGGTTATCCAATTTTTTCAGTTATCCGACCAACCCGAGTCCCCAATTGAGTTGGATAATCGATGCTCTACTGTAGTTATTATTTGCATAACATTATTATAAATTAGAATTAAACATACTTACATATCAGAATTCACTTGTATCATTCAAAGTCAACTCAGATTTTATCCATAAAAATAAAATCTGAAAAAAATTGTATTCAAATTAATAAAATTTATTATTTGAAAATAATTCAAACTCTAAAGATTAATTATCAGTATTGATTAAATTTTATTTATGTTTTCTTCTTTTTTTAAATTAAAATAGAGATAAACATTAATTATACTAAATGGACTTTTCCTGATGAAGGCCAATTAACAAGTGGCTGAAAATGTTCAAATGTTGAATTTGGGTGTTTTGCTGGAAATTTGACGTTTAGGTGAGAGTATATATTGTTCCAGTTTATTTTGTGATTTTTATATATACTGAATGGTAACAATACTGTCCTTCTGGCCAATTATTTCAAAACTAATAAAACAATCACTATAGATCTTTGTCAATGCATACTGTTTGGAGCATGTGGTAAATAATGGTGTAAATTTCCACCCCTTCAGACCTTCTATCAAAGAGGGTTGTTGTAATCTCAGACCCTAATAAAAATAGGGTACATGACAGCTGGACAACAGTCAATTGGGTGCTAGTCAATTGAACAACAGAAACTTAAAAATTTTTGCACACTTATCAAGCATACCATTTGGCATGTATATTGTAAATATTGCTAAAATATATATAAATATAAAACAACCAAACAATTGCATAAATAATCTAAATATATAAAATTGCTTGTATTGACTGACTGAATGACTCACTGACTGATTCATCACCACCCAGAGCAAACCGCTTAACCTAGAGGTGAAATTTGGTAGACAGTTCGGGTACGTCATGAAAACGCACACTAAGAACGGACTTTTTGAAATTCCCCCGTGAGGGGGAGAGGGAGAGGATTAAGGCTTAACCGGAAGAATGGCTTCTACTGTACTATTTTAGATGCAATTTTTTGTTTTTATCTGCATTGTAGTAGGGTGTGCCATGGCAATGCACACTAAGGGATTTTTAGAAATTCCCCCGTGGGGGGTGAGGGAGAGCATTAAGGCTTAACCGGAAAAAACGGCTTCTACTGTACTATTTTAGATGCAATTTTTTGTTTTTATCTGCATTGTAGTAGGGTATGCCATGAGAATGCACACTAAGAAGGGATTTTTAGAAATTCCCCCGTGGGGGAGAGGGAGAGCATTAAGGCTTAACCGGAAGCTTCTACTGTACTATTTTACATGCGATTTTTTCTTACGTTTAGTCTTCATTAAGTACTTAAGTGTATTAAATTAATAACATTTCAGACATTGTTATAAATATTTTTATCTATTTCAATTTTAAAAATGTTTGAACCGTTTTTAAATTCGAATTTGTTATTGCATATTGGTTCGATTATAGAAGGATTGTAAACGTTCCAGAAAATTGATCAAATTGAAAATAGTTTGTTTGATTCTCGGCAATTCTCATCATTCTCAGTGGTAGGTGTTATGTAACAATTACTATGGTTGTTGAAATACTGAATATAAATGGGGTTTGCGTGCAAAACCTCCGCAGGCAAAGTTGCGGGTAACAGCTAGTCAGGTTATAAATATAAACATGATTAAAGCTTATGAGTTATAAGTTATGAACTGTGAGTTATGAGTTATTTCCAACTTATGAAAATGACTTTTTGAACAACGTACTATAGCAGGGGTGGCCAACCTGCGGCTCGCGAGCCGCATGCGGCTCTTTGAATGATTATTTGTGGCTCTCGATAAATGTACCCGAGTTCCCTTTTCATTTTTGTGTTATTATATTTTAAAAAATTATTATCGTTCCGTATGTGTTTCAAAATGTCTTTTAAATTACTAACAACAAATATGAAAGACTAAGTGCAACGTTGTAACAAATTTCATTTCCGTCCAAGTTAAGAATGATATGACTCATCGAAAACTGCGCGAACGAACATAAACAGTGGCGTAATCGTCCGTTATCGACCGACTCCAGACCGATTTTGAATTTGTAAACTGTCATTGCAATGGACAGTTGACATTGTGCTCTGGAGGAAACAATTTGTATCACTCTTGCTACGGATATAATTTGTAATCTGGAATTTTTTGCATACATTTTTAATACGTATTTAATTGCGGCTCGCGAAAAATTTCAAATTTTGAAAAATGGCTCGGACTATCAAGAAGCTTGGCCACCCCTGTACTATAGCATCACTAATTACTGTATGTGAGAAGCAGTTAACCAAGAACATCAAAAAAAAAAAATAATAAATTCTTCAAAATTCTTTCAAAAAACTTTTATACTTTTTTGTTTTAATGTATAATGTAATGTATTTTTAATTTTATATAATTGTTGTCTTTGTTCTTATGTATATTTGTTAATTTTGAGTGTAAATGTCAACTGTCCTTTGGAACTTTTCTATTTACTTGTAAAAATAAATAAATAATGTAACACTCATGTATATATATGTTTGTTAAATACAAAACTGTTCTTTTAATTCATTTCTGAAACAATATTATTTAAATTTACCAGGTAGAAGGTCAATAGAAAAGAATGGTGATTTTAATAAAGAAAACAATAAAAATTTTGTATTTTGTCTATTATTGATCTATTTTGTTGCCCAGATGTCTGGCACCAGTTGACGGTATTCCATAAAAAAGCACAACAGCATACATTGTAAATTAAAGTTTTAATGAGAATGTGTAACCACAGAAACAGACAGATATTCTTAGAACTAACCAAGAGTGTTCAAGTGAAGACAAGACATGAAATAGACAGTCCTAAGAGAAAATGAAATAAATCATCATCTGGCTAATGTGAACAAATACAAAGTACAAACTAATTTTGACGACAAAATAGGAAAAACAACTAAATCTATATATATATAAAAATGGACATGTATGTCCCTATATTTCACTTTTTCGCCAAAACTACACATTGCACGTGAATGGTGTTTGTATGTGGTGGTAGCCCCAAGTCTCCATTCGTGCATANCGACAAAATAGGAAAAACAACTAAATCTATATATATATAAAAATGGACATGTATGTCCCTATATTTCACTTTTTCGCCAAAACTACACATTGCACGTGAATGGTGTTTGTATGTGGTGGTAGCCCCAAGTCTCCATTTGTGAGTAGGGATGGTTGCGTCTCGATAGCTATAAGGGTGCGGGAGATATGAGACTGAAAGTGGTTGAAAGTGGCTTTCTATTTCGAATGTTTTGTTCGAATTTGTTTGAAGTAATTCAAACATAAAATTCGAATATTGGTTCGATTATAGAACAATTGTGAACGTTCCAGAAACGTTGAAAATAGTTGGTTTGACTTGACGTGAACAGGAGACGTTCAGAAATAGAATTGGAACCAGGTCTCTAATCAGAAACGGGGGACCTAATTCTTGCATTCTGTGAAAACGGGTAAGATTGGCTATAATGTAATTATCTTAATCTTCACTATCGTTACTTTTTGCCCA